GTCTGCAGAATCAAAGTGTAATAAATTTGCCAGCTGTCCATAATGTATAATACACTAACATGCTTCATTCTCTATGCATTAGTTATAAGTTTCATATTGTCTCATGTTTGACTATCTACAGTAGTATGCGTGTCATGGGCACTAATCCAATTACTAAACTCTTGGACCGGAGTGCATGTAGACAGGAAGTTGCTTAAAGAAGATCAGCAGCACCGAGATTCAAAAAAGGTGAAAATTGTACTTGCCTAATATAGTTCTATTAAATGTTTTCATATTTTACAAGAACATACAGGAATAAACAAAGAAGGAGAATGAAAGCAATTATAAAAGTCTTCTATAGCAAGGCAATTGTAAGAGCAATGCTGACATCTTGTACAAAGAACCATATCCCACATCAACAAGTTTAAAGTGACACTAAACACAGGAGTTAAGGTACTTGAATGCATTTTTAAGACTTAACTATTAACAAAAATGTATCTTACTTGTGTATCACTCGCCTGTATCCTCAAATCATTTCTCAATTGGTGCGGATACATTCCTGTCTTCTGGAGGGTGGCTACTTTTGTTCCCCGTGGTCCGTGTGTGTTGTAAAGTAGCCACCGCTCCAAGCTCACTCCCAGGATGGACTATAATCTCATTCAGTTGTACTTTAGGAGTGAGCTTACATAGTTACATAGTATTTGAGGTTGAATAAAGACATAAGTCCATCAAGTCCAACCTATTGTGTGTATGCATTTATGTTTGAGCAGGTATGTGCATGTGTATTAGCCCATGTGTGATTTTGCTCTTAGGTCTCGTTCACACCTAGGCGTATTGCATATGCGTGTCTGTCGTGCGACAATTTGCGGTAAAAAAGTTGCGCGACCGTCGCGCGTTTCCGAAGGCTACTTGGCTGTATCCCAATGGAAACGCGCAACAAAACGGCCCAAAGTAGTACATGTACCTTTTCAGGCGTGGGCCGTTTTGTAGCGCGTTAGGGACGGGCGGAAATACGCCAAGGTGGGAACGAGACCATTGAATACAATGGGATTTATATTTTTGAGCATTTTGTAGAGCGTTCGTCAAGCGTAGAACGCGCTACAAAACGTTCAGGTGTGAACGAGGGCTTAGGAGTACCTGTACCCCTGTATATTACGGTCTCCGAGGAACTCGTCCAGGAGTTTCTTGAATGATTTCACACTCTTAGCTGAGATCACTTCCTGTGGCAGCGACTTCCAGACCCTAAGCGCTCTGACTGTGAAGAACCCCTTGCGCCCTGTGTGTTGAAATGTTTTTTCCACCAATTTTTGGTTGTGCCCTCTGGTCTTTGTTACGGAGCTAACCGTAAACAGTTTGTTAATAATGTTGCTGTCACCCTTGAATAGTTTATACAAGATCATGTCCCCTTGGAGCAGTGACTACTCTACAACACACACAGGGCTCATGGGGAACAAAAGTAGCCACACTCCAGAAGGAACAACATTGTCAGCACCAGTTCAGAGATGATTTGAGAATCTACAGCCAATTGATATACTAATAAGATACATTTTTATAGTTAAGGTAGTTGAATGCATTTTTAAGATTTAACTCCTGAGTTTAGTGTCACTTTAAGCCAAGTCAAAACAACAAAAAATGGCAGTTGATTGCCACAGGTTACTATACTTTTGCACATTGCTCTTGCTCGATCAGCATTAGGCGATTTTTCATTTTCCCTGTTTTCTCCAGGGGCCATATTCTGGCATTTAAAGTAAGCATTCTCGGAGAGAAACATAGGGGCTGCCATTGCTAACCTTATTTTTTAACAATGCTAGTTGCCCGACTATTCTGCTGAGATATTACCTAAAATATTTTCTCAGTTACTGCCCTGGATCAAGCATGTATATCAGTAAATTTAGAAGAAAAGTTTGTATCAAAATATTTTCTTCGGATCAGGGGCTCAAACTATTGAAACAAAATGGGTAAGTATGATAGCAGAGCAAAAGTAGCATTTTCAGGCTCAGTTATGGTAGCCACCTAATGTCTCTAATGGAAACCTCCATGAAATCTGCAGTAGGTATAGAAAACATGGGGTTGATTTCTCCTATTGGCTGACAACACATGCCTTTTTGCAGACTAAAATTGTAAAGGTTGGCGTCGACCCTGCCCAGTTGGCAGTTGTCTTCTCAGTTCTGCATGGCTGAAGGAAATTGTATTTGTCTCTGATATATTATGCCATTCACAAACATACCAGTGATTTTGCTATTTGTGTGTTCCATTGGGTAGGTTTTCCTTTGCTTCCTGTCCCATAGACAGAAAAGGGAGTGAGAGAAAAAAAAATTCCCAAAGCAAAGAAATTCTCTTTAACCGGAACAAATGTTTCCTCTGGAAGAATTCTCCTTTATTTCTGTTTCGCTGATAGCTCAGGATTTTCCTTAACTTTCAGTCTTAGCGACAATGGTCACTCGGACAATTAGAGCAAGTGTATCTTTCCAGTGTGGACACAGACTGCAATAAAAACATGCCAAGGATTCTAAACCTTCCACAGGGGTTCGAACTCTAAGCCCACTTAAAAGAAAATAACAGATTTGAGTCAATTGGACTTAATGTATGTGTTTTTAAACTGTCGTTTTTACACGCATTATATTATTTTGTTTTTATTTATTGAACTAGTTACATAAAAGCTTTTCTTTACAATTAAGCATTTGACACAGGGCACACCCCGGACATAAGATTCACAAAGCATTATGGATATTCCTAAAGAACCTGCTCATCCTTTGAAATCTTTCTTACAGAAAATCCACTTGGCCCTGTCTGACCAGAGCAGGGAGGGAAGAGGAGAGGAGGATGTTGTGTTGTATAACTTTCATCTTGTGCTACTGAACTCTGTGAAGAACTATTACAATGTATACATTCCCTTTAAGTAAGGATAAAGATGACAGCCTTGGAGCAGTTACCTGCGAAAAAAGAATACAGTGGAATCTCTCATCTTCCTGTACCGGCAGATACCTTTAAAGCAATGAGTAGGTAAATTTAATGTATGTAGCAACTACTAAAAATAACTTCTGCTTCATTGTCATATTGCTGTGATCCTTCCCTAGCACAGCTTATGTGATGCCCATGTTGATTTGGGCAAGGTGACAAGGAAAAAAAAAAGGTAATGCATTTTTTAACTCGGGAAAGGACATCCCAGCGCCATCTGCCAACAGCACAATTTTATTAAACTGCCAGCATGATCGATTGCATGGGCACTAAATAAAATCCAAAATACAGCTAGGCAATGCTATTAAGTTATCATTAATAAATGGCACCACAGAAATGCAGAAAGTAAGTATTACTTCCCATTAGTTGCAGAGAAACAAAAACAAATCTATAAACATTGTTATTTGCAGCGCATAATGGATGTTTGTAAATAGCATGGGATTCATAAGCGCATACTAAAATTTTACTCTATCCAGCAGGCAACTCTTTCATGTAATCTACGAAAAAAACTGTATTGAAAGGCAAGAGTAAAAGACAAAACATCCTCTGCTCCAAAAGTCCCTACAACTCTCACACAGCTCGTCTCTGCTCCAAATACCAAAATAATGGTCACTTTCCTTTTATGGGTGCAAATTATATCCAATAATACAATACAACCAAAGTAAAATATTTATATAACAACAAATACCCCAAACAAGAAACTACTTCCCATAAACCCAATATATTTATTTCTAGCCTTCTACGAAATGTCAATTTGGAAGATAATTGAATAAATTAATCGAAACCGTGTACTGACCTAATAAGTAAGTATATAAGCAGAAACTAAGAACAAGAATGGGAAAAAAAAAAAAAAGGGAGGGACATAAGTAAATGGTGGAGAAGCCACAATAGGAGGACAGAACTATAAAGAGATAAAAAGCAGCGAGACTTCATTGGGCTTTAAAGACAACCTTTCATGACAAGACTTGCCTATGAATCTGAACATTTATCCTTATATTATATTCATATTTGGTTTAGCCTGACATTTTTATATATATATATATATATATATACATACACACACATATACATACATATATGTGTATGTATGTATGTATGTATATGTGTGTGTGTGTGTGTGTGTGTGTGTGTGTGTGTGTGTGTGTGTGTGTGTGTGTGTGTGTGTGTTTGTGTGTGTATATATATATAATATATCTATATATACACATACATACATACATACATACATACATACATACATACATATATACATACATATATGTGTAATAATCTCTAGAGACTGTTATTACAGAAAACCAGCCCATCTGGTACAAACAATCATGCCACAGTCAAAATCACCAAGATTAGATTTTTTTTCCCCCATTCTGGTGTTTGACATGAACAATCACTGAAGTTCCTGATATGCATCTGTATAATTGTATGCATGGGGCTGCTGCCACATTATTGGCCGATTAGATAACTGTGTAAATCAGGTTTAGATCAAAGAGTAAATTGCTCAGTGAAGGTTTGTTTGTGTGTTTATTTTTTAGAGAACTTACACTTTCAAATATTTTTAAATAAATAGCAGTTTATAACAGTGCAAAGCAATACAAAATACACAGTTATGTAACCTATTCACATGTGTAGTAACAAAGATAATGTATGATGCTAAATACATAAACATAAGGCTTTTATTGTAGGCAAATATAAAAATATAGTTTTGATCAATATAAGCTGGTTTTAGTTAAATATTATACATACAAAGTGTTTCTAAGGAGGAACTCAAAGCAAGCAGCACAATACTCAGTTGACTTACATACTTGTGAACTGTTTTAACTTGTCAAAGGATTAGGATTTATGTTTAGCCACTAGCGTCACCCCACCACGCTGTATAGACAGGTGGGTGGTCATCCTTTTTTCTGGTTTAACTTTGGAGATCAAGCTACCAGAGACCCCAAGTGATACAAAAAGCTTATTGGATGATTTGGGCCCGCTTCCTACCCAAACCAAAATAACAATTTTGGGTGAACCAGCCCTTTAAGTGATACTGTGAAGCGCTTTCATTTCTGTAAATATAATAAGAATCAGGTAAAAGTTGGGTTTATGGAGCCATACGACTTCTCAGTGGGAGAGACTGAATGCGGAACCCTCCTCCTTGTGGTTTCATCATGTTTTGGAACAAAAGGAATCTCAGAGTCATATGGTAGAACGTGGTCTATTTCCTCGGCTCGCCTGCCATCTTCACACCCCAATAAGAACAGACTGAGGATCTGGTTGTGCTTAATAAGGTTCTTTAACATCTCAACCACAAGAAACACAGCGACCAAGCCAGTTATTAAATAACCTAAAATGTAGAAAGAAAATATTTTGATATGCAAAAAAATTTCATAAAAGATATGCCAATTAATTAAATATCTGCTATAAAACATTGTTGTGGCCACCTGCCAGCTAAACAATCTACATACACAAAATGTATATAGCTTTACCTCCAGTCACTTTGCTAATGATTCTACAATACTGGATTTTAGTGCTTGGTTCAATTTGAAAATTACAATGTTATATTGTTTTTCTAAAGCACACCCTTGTGATTAACTGTGTTGCATTTTAAATATTAAAATAATTTATCCTATTGGTGAATTGGCAGACATGTTGAAATCAACAACTTTTGTTGTTATTTAATGCCAGGCCGCATAGAATAATGTTTGCATACAGCACATGTCTTTAATGGATGGTAAGAAAGCATGTGTTCCCAAACAAAAACACAGAAACTGCAGAAAGTCAAAATAACCTAAAAACACCCACCTAGTGAGACATTCCCAAACTGTAATGTTAGGGTTAACTGCCACAAACCCAAACTTACCTTATTAGTGCCAAAATTCACCTCTCCCGACAAAGATGCCCAAATGAACCACTGACTGGTCAGAAAGACTGCAAATATATTGTAAATACATCTGACCTCCCTATGTTCAGCAAGGAGAAGAACTGCAAACATGAAGGCAGTCTGAGTAGGGGGAACTAACTTTGCCAACAAAAAACAGAGGATACAATAAGTTTCCTTTTACAATAATTAATTTATTCAGCATTAATATTTCACAATGAAAGTAATACATACATGCTGACAGGTGTGTAACAGATGCAAAGTCCAGTTTACATTTCAGCACATACCTGTAAGTATGTATGTATGTATTTTTAAACAAAAGTCACGGCTAGTATAAATCTTCCCTTAAGAGGTGTATAATTATGGCTGCTAATACTCTTGCTGCAGTTCTACAGCCCAAAGCAATCCATGAATATGAATGCTAATTGAATAACAGTAAATTCTAATTAAAAACCATTAATGGTCTTTATACATCTAAAACTTAAAATGTAATAATTAGTATACAGAACACTAACTGCCATAATGTGCTAGCTGGTCAAAATGATTGAAAGCACAAAATTGTGAATATTACCTTCCACCTGCAAGACTGGAGACTTTATTATTAAAAATAAAAAACTGGATTTGTAACATTTGACTATTGTTCCATGTGGCAATATTAGGTATTTAGCAGCAGCAGACACCCTCAGGACCACTGCTCTTAGAAGCCAAGATATATCAAACATGCTTCAAAACCTTGTCTAATCAATATTAGATGAACTTGTAGTGGAGGCTGACTCTCTATGCTCACTACTCCTTTGTGCTCAATTCACATAAATATGTATGCTTGGGCAAGCATCCATGTTTATCATGCAGTTGCCCAATAGACACAATTCTAAGTGGAGAATCATGTCTGCATGTTAAACTTCCCTCATATATCCATGGGCATACTAGCCAATGTAACTTATAAGCATTTCATTTCTAATGTAAGTGCCCAAATCATGTCCACAGGGTGCAGCAGAACATGTATATCCTAACAAGCAATGCATTAGCACATTGGGAAATGGCTCTATCCCATGTTAAAACACTATTTGCACAAGTAGCCATGGGAGTACACAAACAGCAATAGGGTTTACAGGAGAGCCTGCATGTGTACAGTGATCACGTGACAACACAGTGTTGCCTTAATGGAATCCTTTACTGAGAGCAAAGGGTACTGCCAATTCAAAACTTTCTCTAAAAGTGCTCGTTTCCTGGCCGTCTTGAACTCTGTTTTCCAAATAACTGACCAAGGTAAAGCATACAGTAAGCAAAAGCATATTGATGTCAGTCAGTTTTTGATTTCCAGACCTCAGTACAAAGATCAACACTTTGACTCAAAGACTCAAAGTATTGATCCTTGGATCACCATGACAGTTTGTTAACTGGCTCTTTTAATAAAAGGGTGAAGAGACACAGGAGGATCATGAAATAACTGGTGAGGAAGTAAAAAAGAGGCTACATAGGGGCCCGCTGAGTAAGTTCTTCATCACGTGCACTGCTCTGTGGATTGTAAATGGAACCCAAGTATAAGCCCAGGTGTCCATCAGCTAAAATGTTTCCTCACCTTTTTGATTGGATGCCTTAAGCTGGCCATACACCTTACAATTATCTGCAGATTTTCTGTGGTCAGATGGAAAAGATGCAACAGATTCCTCCATCTACACTTAACTGTGTGGATGGAGTAATCCCCATCTGGGCCAATCTGTTGCACTTTTTCCAGTGTATGGTGCACCTTTACGATTGGATGTCAAAACTGTTTTGCTTTGACTGCAATTGGATGTAATGGTTGTTTCTACTAGCTAAAAGGAGGCTTGATGACGTTGCTTTTATTGTTTGTCTTTGAATCAGCAAAGCTTAAAAGATTAGCTGTCTGGCAGCTAGACAGCTCGCATTTTCAATAGGAGAGGTCAGCAATGGCAGCCTGCATGTTTGTTCTGTATAGGTTTTCTTTTAACATTGCTTTGCCATAAAAATGTTGTTTTCCTATGTCCACCAAAAGAGAAAAATTGCTACAAATCGACAGAAAAAAAAATATTGTCAGGCATATTCAATAATGCAGAGGAACGGTATTGTATGATCCAATTCGACAAAGATTAGTTGACTGGCAGCTAGATGTATAACATTTTCAATAGAAGAGGTGAGCAATGGCAGCCTACATGTTTTCTTACAGAGCTTCTCTTTAGTAATGAAATGTGCAGGATCACAGACTATGGGCTCTGTAATTTGTGCAGGATTTGTAGGCTCTGTAATTTGCCAATGTCCTACACATTAAAGCAGACCTTGCACTAAATAGGTTAATTTATCACATGAAGCTTCCCTCCACCATCCCCATCTCAAATCACTGAATTAAGCAGAGCTGTGCAAAAAAAGCTAGAAAATATACTTACTTTACCCCTGGCATTCCCCCTCAGGAAGGGTGTTGTCACAAACCTGGTGATCCTGAGAAGTATCCCAAATACTCCTGCACTGTGATGCATTGTCTTGGGATACTTAACATTCTCAGGACCTCGATGCAAGGATCTAGCTTTATTTTCCCCAACAGGAGTGTTTTTTCCCCCGTTTTATTGCTTTGATTTTAGATGGGGGGACCGAAAGTAATAAGTGAACTTTGATGCATGGTCCAATTTAAAGTATCAAAAAAGCAGTTGTGATGCAGTTTTTTCCCCCTTGTAAATTCAGTAGTTTGTGGGCAGAAATAGGCAATTACAGGCACCTATGGACATGAAGAAAACATTGCTGAATCCCTGACATTGGAAACAGTATAAGACTACATTCATTGTTTTATTAGTTGATATGGGTAACTGCAATATTCACATTGTGGTTTGCCTTATTGACAAACCCATACATTTGCTTCTGCAGATACCAATCTGTGTAGTTATTGTACACTAGCCACTCAATAACTATCACCTGCTGCGCTATGGGACTTTGATTAAGGCTGCACAATTGATTCATTCTTATGGTCCTTAGTTGTAAAGGGTTTTACCATGTTAGCCTTTAACAGGGGTAAAATATAGAGACACATTATACCTTTTATAGACCTAGTAGACGTTACACTGAAAACATTCGAAATGGCTTATTAAGTGTGCAGGTTTACCATCATCTTTCTCAGCTAATGATAATTTTTTTCTGCTTCACTGGGTTCTAACATCCAGTTACCACATTAATGCATCCAGACTTTTTTTGGTTAAACTTATTCTTTGGACCAGACAAAATTATATATATATATATATATATTATAGATGAGAATTTATGGAAATAACCTGCTCCAGCATGAGAATGTATGGTGGCGTGTTAACTTTAAGAACACCCGCTGTGTACTTAAGTCCTTAATATATATTTTATTTTGGCCATTATTTTGTTCCCACCACCTTCTTTATTACAGCATTTGTGCACATTATGCTTCTATTACTTAATCTCTAGGAGAGCTTTCATCTCTCTCCCATCTACACCCATCAAAAAATGACAGGAGCCACAGATGAACAAAGGATGAGTGTAAACAACTTAAAATCACCCTTTAAACCCCCAAAGAGGAATTTCACCTGGAGAACATTAAAGTATCATTAAAATGCCAGAGGCAATTACTTACAGATAACCATGATCTTGTAGAGTGCTGGCATGCGTTGACTACTCTGTTCACCGGGTACATAATCTCCAAGACCAACTGTACTCAGGGAGATAAAGCAGAAGTACAGGGCATCCACATAACCCCAATCCACTTCTAAATTATTAAAGACCACTGCAGGAATGAAGAAGAAAAGGAGAGACAAGAGGGAGATTAAGACTATGGCATGGATCCACTCTAGCTTGTTCTGAGAGATGCTCCAGTGGAGGTGAATGATTTGGAGTGGCTTGTCTCGCAGCAAAATTAGCAGATTCCGAGCAGCAATAGAGAGTAAAGATAAGGTGAGTGGGATTCCAATGATGGAGTAGAATAAACAAAACAACTTTCCACTCAGTGAGATAGGAAAGGGATGCCCATAACCTGTAGGAGAGAAAGGTTTATATGAATAAAATACACTAATATGGACGATTTTGCTTTTAAATATTTACTGACCACAATACCTTCCCCATAATATCAATTTCACTTAAATATTACCACTTCATGAGCACCCACTGCAAATCCAAGTCAGCTTTCAACCACATTGGTGGCTGTAACAAAAATTCCACATTTACATCAGTCATTCTGTGAGGCATCAAGGAGCATCGCTGTTCCAGCATCAGCAACACGTGTGCGCCAGGATCACAAGATTACAGTTGAATGGAGTAGGGTGGACTTAGGGCCTATTCACATGCATGCAGTTTTCCCACAATGCATTCTCCTTTAAAAATCAATGAAAAAGCATCAAAACACATGTCAACATTCGTCAACCTGCAGTGCTGTATGGTATTGTCACGTGTTGCAATGCACTTTGTATTGAATGTCAACCCGCATCATTATGCACACCAATGCATGTTATGAAGTGTGACATGTGTATGAATGCATGCCATGTTTTGAGACCTTTCTATTAATTCCCATGGGAAAACGGGTCCAACATAGTGTCAAACAAGCCTGAGGCAGTATAGCAATATCTGGATGAAAAAGTGAACTGTTCAGCATGCAGGCCATGCTCCCTGTATGCATATCAAGGCTGACATCCAATTTAGACTGGAGTATAAGATTAAGGGTCCATTCACACAAATTGGTGCAACGTGGTGCCATTTATTGTAAACGTTTCACAGTGAGGGCTGGTTCGCACATTACTTTTTTTTCTCACCTCAGCGCAACGCATGGTATTGCGGTACCATGCTATGAGCTGTAATGCACAGCTGCTAGGAGGTGCAATAGATTGGTATTCAAATGGATGGCAGCCCAACATATTTAGTGCATGGTTCCAACCGCAAGGTTATATAGCATACACCAACAGGTATGGCAGGCTTACCGCAATGCTTAAGCGTAAACGGACCCTAAAGCTGGATTCACACTTGTGATGCGTTATTGTGCTTTGCGTTAAGGCTTCATTACAGATGGGTTGTCAACACACTTTAAACAGACTAAAAAATGCACATGAACATTTTTTGCAATAAGATGCACAGCATGTGCATTTTGAAGCGCTGACAGGTGTTGGCACCTACTCGATTGGGGGTTGGGGTGCCATTCACAACATATGTGTTGCATTTAAGTCTTAATGGGCTCTTTATCAGAGACGGGTCTCTGTGTGCACACAGCAAAGCATGTCCACACAGCAAAAGCATGGTAACACATTGAGGAGCGCTGCATTACTAAAAAATGTGTGCCTGTTTTTCTTGGCTGTTGCAATGAGTTGGCAGCCAATTCAAATGAATGGTCTGCTTTAAAGCAAGGCATGTTTAACCACCACAATAGGGCTTTAAAATGAAAGCTGAAATCTGATTCCTGGTGGCAAAACCTCCATGTCTCACTTGCAGCATTTGATGCAATGATTTTTGGTAGGATATTTGCTGGTCTCACAAACTGTGTGCAGTATTTTACAGGGACCCACTAAAAGGTGATGGAAAATACAGTTGTCGGGGGGGAAAAAAAAAAAAAGGGAATATCTGTGCAGTAACCAGTAATAAATAAAACATTGCCTTTGAAATTATATAGGGTCGCATGGGGTTTATACTGGTTGTATGCAGAGCGATTTTAACCACATTCAACCAGCTTACAACCATTAAATCAACCAAGCAGATCAAAGCCCCTACCACCATTTTGCAATCAGAAGCTGGTAAAACAGCCTGAAAATTGCCATATGTGGAGCCAGCAGAATGCTTTGCTTAGCTAAGATCACATTTCATAGAACATTCACTTACCAATAGTGGTTAGGGTGGTCCCAGCAAAGAATAGAGAGGATACAAAGTCCCATCTGACCTCAAAGCCAGATATATTTCGCAGGACTGACACTCCAAAGCTTTTTACAAGCAGAGCTTTCCTCAGAAAATCCTCCAGTTTCTCCTCAGACAAACATGGGTGGTTTTGCAGGAAATCATCCCATAGGCTCTCCACCTTCTCCCTCAACTGGTTCTCATATGGCTGCTCCAGGGTAGAAAAGATGAAAGCTCCAATAACTAAGTACAACACATAGCTGACCAGAAGTAGCAGAAAAAGGAGGGCACGGTGGCTCATCATACTGAGGTGGAGCTGGGCTAGTGAACCTTGGTGTCCTCTTTGGGTCAATCAAACACAAAATGACTGTACCAAACCAAAGACAGGAAATGCTGACCTGGACTACTCAGTGCACAAATTCCTGCTTACCAATGGCTCAGGTGCATTAGTTTAAGCCTTAGGAAGACCTGGTATGGATCATCTCATGCCTGTAGTGCTTTTTTGTGGAAAAAAAGAATCATATTTAAAGAGTTGCAAAACCCCCCCGAAAAAAAAAAAAACATTTTCTGAGATCTATATGTAAAACAGCAATCAATAATATGAAGGCGTTTAGAAAGCCATGCAGTTTGTCAACGTTTGTCAACTTTTGTCATTAGAACATTATGGGGCTGCCATATCTTTTTTTCTATTTGATAAGCTGCCTTGCTGTGCTGGGACTCAGTGCTTCAGGGTCACAAACCCAGAACAAATTGTTGCATACGAAAGCTAAAGAAAAGTCATAATTGCTTATTATTGTTTCAAGTCAATGATTTGGGAAGGATTGATGTTAAACCATCAACATCATAGCCGGGTAGGTAGCATTTTCATAAGTAGAGGTCAGCAATAGAAGCCTAATATATTTCTTATGACAGGTTTCCTTTAAATGCTTTGCAATTGTCTGCAAAGGTTTATAATGCACTTTAGACTAGCATTTGCAGGCTAAGAAAAAAGAATGTCTTGAGGTCATAGAGCACATGCAATATTAAAAGGGGAATTATTTTAAAAGTCATGAAAACAAAAGTATTTACACGCTGACAATGATAAAGCTAATTACACAAATGAGGTATGTATAAGGAGCTGTTTTCTTCCTGCCAAGGGATTTGTGTGTCCGTTCATCCAGTTCTGGAATTTACACAGCTCTGTCTGACAGGGCAGGGGACCTAATTTGTCTCTGTTGTGAAAGGTAAAATAAACAGACTGATAAGCTTATCCCTCTGTTATTTTGCTCTATACTCCTATCAGCATGATTCTGGTTAACAAATGAGTACTGCAGCATAACTAATTGGCTCATCGTGCTGCTTCTTCCTGTCACATTCTGAGCTCTGCTGTACAGTGGAATGCAGGAGGCATGCAAATGTGTCTAGGAGGACTGTGCATAACCTTGAGCAGGTTTTGAGTAGCACAGGAATTTTCAGAGCAATGCAGCTCCGCATCAGGTTGGTTAAAGAGTATAGCAAAGGTAAGGAGCCTCCATGTGGGACCTGTAATCAAGCAAGCCTGTTACTTTGTCTAATACAGGCAAAACACAGGTGTGATTTAAATGGAACTATTTGGCATGTAAGACGTTTTCTAGTGCACCTTAATATGTGTCAGGCTCTCTGTTATATATGCTGAATCTCAGCTTCAGCAGATAAAGTCAAGTTCTTTCCCACACCTTTCCCTGTTCCTGATCAATAGTTGGCTGCAAAAGACTGGAAGGGATGGGTTTACTTAAATTTGGGGGAGCAGTCTGAGCACTAACTGGTTGGAGACTGATACTGAAGCAATCTCCTGCATACCCAGCTATACAGGTGCCCATACACATTACGATTATCGGCCGATTTTTGTATGCGATCTCGTTTTCGTCCAATATTCGTAAGGTCGATGGGCAGTGTACAACCGCAAATACTGTACAATCGATTGACTTTTGACTATCCAGCAGGTTAGAAAACTTCGGTCGATTATACGAATTTTGCAAGGTTGGTGGCATTTCTGTACGTCAAAATTCATACGATTAACACTGCTCATACGCAAACGAAAATATGTGCGGTCGATTACCGCAATTCGTCCAGGTGTTTTTTTACCTACTGCTGATTGAACCATGCGATAATCGGGGCAGGATGGGGCCGCCGTACGAAAATCGTATGACGGTTCGATCATCGGACGAAAAGTTTCGTCCAATGATCACAGGGTGTATGGGCAGCTTAACACCTAGTAGAACAAGCTGGAAAGTCCCCATAGACTACAGTTAAAGAGGTCTGAACTGTTAAAGCTGTATTAATGTCCAGAAAGGAAAGTAGAGGGCAAAGGACTTCTCAGCAGTATTCTCTACACGCTTGTAGGGGTGGTCCGACTATGCCACACTTGAGGATAAACCCTGAGGTTCTACACCACAGAGTGTCTCCTGGTGACTGGAGTTGTTAAGCCAGTTCTCTAGTTCCAGAGGCCAAACTGCTTTGCAGGAATGGAGCCACAGGATTTCTCACATCCCACAGGTTCACATAAACTTGTGCTTCCCTTATCAGGCCCTAGGTTTTGGCAGTAGTACCGTTACATTCTTGAGGCCTCAATATTCAAATAGGTCCAGGTTGTAGCAGTGAGAGTTACCACCAGTCCGAATGTCCGTGTGACATAGGTGCTTTAATCTATAAGAGGTGCACCATGGGAAAGCTACCCATCACCTCCAGCGATCAACCCTCTGCTCTATAACCACCACCACACATGCTACAAATATTCCCCAGATATTGATTGTGCATAACAGCAACTGCTCTGTCTGCCCTGCATATTGTACGTCTTGTATTGTATTGATAAAAAGAATAAAAAGAATATCTTGCTGCACTCCTTACCGCAAAAAAACAAAAACTGGGTGGGTGCTTGTAGTGACCACGGTAGGCACCGCGTATAACACAGAACAAGGAAATAATGTCACCAGCACACCATTGTTTTAAATCAATGATCCATTTTAATGGCACATTGCCATCCAATACTTTTAAGCGCTTTCGGGGCCGCACAGGGTCCCCTTCATCAGGCTCAGAATGACACATCAGTAACAGATACATCAAGCTTATATAGACATCAGACAGTGTGAATAAAGATAAACCACTCCCATAAAAAAGAATGACATCACTGAGTCCGTTCCCGCCAAAGCTGATTCAAAACTAGTATTGGATGGCAATGTGCCATTAAAATGGATCATTGATTTAAACAATGGTGTGCTGGTGACATTATTTCCTTGTTTTGTATTGTATTGAATCCCAAACTTCAGGCCTATGACTTAACAGGCCTCCTCCACTTTCCGACCTCTCCTATTGCCCTAATTACCAATTTTATAGTCAGCACCCACCCTGCACCACCTATAAGAAACAAAATGGCACTGCAAGAAGATTAATCACCCATAGTTAAATAATCCCTTGTCACGGTCTCCCTGTAACTGATCTTTTTTTCATTACTGACCTACCATGCCTGGTTGCAGGCTGTGTCTGTATGTGTAGGCGGACATCTTAAACTTTGCTTCCTTGTGTCAAATCTGCCTCCATGCTGATTGGTGGTTGATGAATAATCATTCAGCATCAAAAGAGTTACAGAACGCACAGATCCACAACTAAAGGAAGCAGAAGCAAGGAGGTGTTTGCATTACAGGTCCTCAGGTACAGCTTTCTCTCCAGTAAGGAAAACAATGAGCAGCAGAGTAGTAGCATTGACAAATCTTCTGAGACTAGCAGGCAGAGTGCCTTAGATACCACACTGTGCATAGACAGCTAAAAGGATCAAGGCACAGGAGTGCCTAGGGACCCTCACATACAAGGAAGTGCACTCCAATTCTGAGGAGAAATTCACAAGTACGGCTTAGGCATGGTTAACATTTCTAAACGTTCCAAATAACAAAATAAATCTTTACTTATTGAGTTACTTCTCCACCAAAAAGCGATTATACCCTATGCATTCAACATCTGTCTTCTGGTCATTTTATTATTTTATTTTGCTTGTGTAGCTTGCCACACTTATTCAACATAAATATGAATGAAGCATTGTGTTCAGTATGTTTAAGAAAACCCTTCCTAGTGTGTGAGGAATCATAATAAAATATCCCCGGAAAGTGCTGCTCTACAATATGTTAAAATCTATTTGTTTCTATCAAATTATTTCATGAATATTTTATAGGATCCTTTATTGACTTGCACAGTCAGCAAATAGTACTTTGTACAAACCTTTCCTTCTTTTTTCCAATAATAACACTAAGTTCTTTTTCTGTTTTTCAATTAGTCGTCTGCACTATAATAGACATTCTTATCTGTGCTGGGTGTAGTAATAAGAATACAAATTTTAACAGAAGAAGAAATATGAAATGAGAAAACAGAGTCAGACATTACTTTTTGTTTATTACCCATTAGAGGAAACATAGGTTGATTGTGTTTGCAGATGCTTTCTTTCTTTGCTTCTTTCTGATCAGGAAAATGACTGCACATGCAATGTTAATGGGTAACTCTACTTTAAAAATATAAAAAATGAAAAAATCATTAAAAAATGAATATAGCATATACAATTGTCACACAAGCCATTTTGTTTAATAATATTAAAAATTAAAGGAGAACTATTAGGCAAGTGAAAATCACTCGAAATCACTCAATGAAACTGTCACAGGTCGGCTCAATAGATCGGGAAGTGAGCGAGCACATAGCGCCGCTCACTCACTTCTCGATCTATCCCTGCAGAGAGCCATGACTGTCACTCACGGCTCCCTGCAAGGATTCCCCCCCCCTGTCTGATCTTCCAGCGCTGACTGGAGGAACGGACGGGGGAGGGGACGTGCACAGCTGGCTCTGCCTCTAGATAGGCAGTGCCAGCTGTCAATACCGCAGCTGGGTGGAATTCGACAGTAATGTCGGGATCCGTCCCGGCTCCGGCATCTCAGTACACCGCAAGCTGTAGCTCGCGGTATACTGAGCTTAGGGTGACGGGAGGGCGCTAGTTTGTGTCCTCCCGTTACCCTTAGAAGAACTATGGGGAAAAGCCCTGACCCCATAGTTCTCCTTTAACTTTCCATTTAAAACTGTAGCTGATGTTCTAAATCTGTAAAACAAAATTCACTGCAATATGGCAATCTGGAGGCATTCCGTACACAGTTGGTGTACAGAACCCCAGAAATGTCACTTCCTGCTTATGTGATTAGCTGACTGATTTTTCCAGAAGTCTGCACAAGGATATAAGTATAATTTTTGGCATCCCATGCAACAGGATTTTCATTTTTGGAGAGATACCCCCTAAGGGTTAATTACTACTAAAGG